ATCAGTTATTAGGTCAATAAATACATTCCCTTGAGATATTTAATAATTTCTAATATATATTCATTGTCTTCTATTTTTCATTGTGTTCCAACAGATTGAAAATAACTTTCGGAGTGAAGTAATTTATAATTTAGTATTCTTCACATTTTTTTCCTGTATTGTCATAATTCTTGTGATCTACTCATTCTATCTTTATCATCTTTTATTCAGTATTTTGTATAATTTATTTTATGTGTCTTTTTATATTTCTTATCTGCCACATTTGATTTTTTATATTAATGTAATATTATTGATAGGGTAAGAAAAGGACCCCAATGGAAATGAACTTACTTATATACTACTGTCCGTGATTAAGAAATGGAATAAGCTGCGTGGGGAATAACAATAATATAATGGACCCTCAACCAATGCCATTAATCCGTTCCAGAGAGCTAGCCGTTAGTCGAATTAATTTTCCCCATAAGAAATAATGGAAATCCAGTTAATCCGTTTCCGACAGCCAAAAGTATTAACAAAAAAATATTTTTTTTTAAAGATCAAATATAAATATGCGTACAGAAAACAATGACAAATAAATATAAAGCACAAATAAAATGGATAAATGAACATTTAACATTACACTTACCTTTATTGACTTATCTTTGCTGACTCGACTTGTTGGTGTATGACAGACACGTAGGAAGCAAGAGGAAGACAAGTTTATTATGCTTCAATATGATGCTAATATCATCTCTATGGCTTATTTATCTATCATAATTCATCTAATATGACATTATAAACAATATTAATAATATAGAAACATGATATATACTCTAGAATGAATAAAATAAGTCATAATGTATGAGAGGAATAAATGGTGTAAGTGGTGTTGTTGTTGGGTTTAAGGGCGGTGGAGGATTTTGCCAGCACCTCCATCACACTTAACCCTTCAACAATACCGTATATATATGTTTACAGCGCCCCGAATATTTTGAAAAAAAAAATTATAGAAAAAAGAGCACTTTTTTTTACGTGTTCTAGAATAAAAAATATTGGGGTCAATACTTACCGAGATATGAGGCCGAGAAGTTGGCACTGGATGCTCACTTGACGGCAACATGGAGTCCTGCAACTTGCAGAGGTGTTGCCAATATACCTTTTTTTCTACTTTTCATATTTATATAATTTTCATGTTCTGATAATTGCAATTTATAGTAGTTCTTGTCATTTCGTAACCAATCTTTGTTCTGACACTAGTATTAGGTACTGAAATTGCACTCACATTGTCACAAACACACTGACAGGTGGACATTTACACCTGCCTTGGTCACTTACTATTGTCTTGGAATATATACAAAGTATTTATATGATGTCCCAGCAATGTTTTGGATATGTGGAAGTATATAATAATAATGAGGAGGAGGAGGAGATGGAGAAGGAGGAGGAGGAGAAGGAGGAAGAGGAGAAGGAGGAGGAGGAGAAGGAGGAAGAGGAGGAGGAGGAGAAGGAGACGGGGGAGAAGTAGGAGGAGAAGAATACATAATAATAATAATAGATAATAACAAGTTCCCTTGAAGCACGAAAAACAAAGTCCACCCCTGACAGTGACATGATAAGATGAGATAATATTTGATAAGAGCTGAGGTTTGATGAGCATACGCCAGGGTGCAGTGATAACACTTGATAAGAAAAGATTAGAGGTGACATTTGATGAGCATCAGCCCTGGCTTGTTTTCGCTGGTACACAAACATGTCTGTCTGTTTGTCTGTCTGTCAAGCTCCCTGTCTATCTGTCTATCCGTCTAGCTCTCTGTCTCAGAGAGAGTCACAAGACTGCATCATCACGTTTACTCAGATCTTCAAGCAGAGTATAGCACTTTGTCTGGATTTTTTGGGTTATCCTAGGTAATTTATACTATGTATACTTGTATTTATGTGTACCTGTGAGACAGAGATAGACAGAAACAGATTGAAAGAGATAGACAGAGATAGAGACAGAGACAGATAGACAGACAGAGATAGAGATAGACAGAGATACAGAGATAGACAGAGGTTGACAGACCCTAAACTTGGGGTTAACATCACTTTCCTCTTAAAAGAGGAGTGTTAATATGACATTACATAAGTGAATCCTTGGTGTTTGCCGCACGCTCAATTTAACTGGTGCTCCCACAAGGTACTAAGTGGTCCCAGATTTTTTTAATATGGTGCACACCGAGTGTTAAGACCCATTCTATGCTGACCAGGCATCTCAGGGCAATCATGCCAAATTTGGAGGCAGGAAAATTAAAAGGTATATATATGTTTGGGGCGCTGCACACGTGATCACGTATATATACGTTTGGACCGTTTAAGGGTAAATAAGAAATATTTACATTTTAATTTATAAATAAGAAATATTTACATTTTAATTTATAAATAAGAAATATTTACATTTTAATTTATAAATAAGAAATATTTACTTTTTAATTTATAAATAAGAAATATTTACATTTTAATTTATAAATAAGAAATATTTACATTTTAATTTATAAATAAGAAATATTTACATTTTAATTTATAAATAAGAAATATTTACATTTTAATTTATAAATAAGAAATATTTACATTTTAATTTATAAATAAGAAATATTTACATTTTAATTTATAAATAAGAAATATTTACATTTTAATTTATAAATAAGAAATATTTACATTTTAATTTATAAATAAGAAATATTTACATTTTAATTTATAAATAAGAAATATTTACATTTTAATTTATAAATAAGAAATATTTACATTTTAATTTATAAATAAGAAATATTTACATTTTAATTTATAAATAAGAAATATTTACATTTTAATTTATAAATAAGAAATATTTACATTTTAATTTATAAATAAGAAATATTTACATTTTAATTTATAAATAAGAAATATTTACATTTTAATTTATAAATAAGAAATATTTACATTTTAATTTATAAATAAGAAATATTTACATTTTAATTTATAAATAAGAAATATTTACATTTTAATTTATAAATAAGAATATTTACATTTTAATTTATAAATAAGAAATATTTACATTTTAATTTATAAATAAGAAATATTTACATTTTAATTTATAAATAAGTAAGTTTATTCAGGTATACACAAATACAGTTACATAGATTATCATACATAGCAGCATATGTGTAAAGTACCTAAGATAACCCAAAAAAGTCAGAGTGACTTACATATTTCCATTGGGGTCCTTTTATATTTACACTTAATATATTTACTTTTATGCTTACACTTTTATATTTACACTTACCTTGGAGATGTTAGTTTCATTAGTTTGATGGAGGAAATGCTGGCAGAGGTTTAGGGTAGTGGAAGATAGCAGGCCGGCGTATGTTCAGCGGATGTACACACATCCAACAATATTGGAGAGTTACTTTCGTGTCGTTTTTCTATCGCTTACTCGTTTAACTTACTTGCTACACTGTTAACTCTACACTTTATCGCTGACTGGCACTATAGCCTTTATCGATACCTACTGCTTTAGTATCGTACATATCGTAGAATCAATAAATCACTGCACAAGGCACATTCTCCCCTCTCTCTTCCTCCTCCACTTTGGTACTTTGCTACGAGTTTTTTTTTTTTTTTAATTTTATTGTATTTCTTTCCTTCTTTATCACAGGGCTGGCACTAGAAACTTTCTTTGGGCCCATGGTGGCATATTTAGTGGTTACAAGCACTAAAAACACTGGAATAATACAAAATATATAGCAGGTACACTTGGAATCGACCGAAATGGCTTGTAAACACTGGCACACTGGCTGTATGTGGAGTCTTGGAGTGGCTGGGCCCACTCAGGCTGCACTCCGGCCCCATGGACAAGTTCGGGATGAACATCGTTAGATGAGTTTTTTGCCATTGGTAGAGCCATTTTTTTTATGCCAAAGAGCGCTGTTAGACGAATTTGCCGTTACTTGATGCTGCCATTAGTTGAGGGTCCTCTGTATACAGCCTCTCCTCACTTAACGACGCACTCGTTTACCGACAACTCGGACTTATGACGGGCTCTCTAACCAGTATGCATACCTAAATAATGTATATTAGAGCTGATTTCCTCTATTCTGTTTATTACAATATACAGTACACTGCTGTGTAAACATTTAAAAATATACCAGAAGTGCTATAAATGGTGCAAAGGTGACATTAAAACAATATCAAAGATGGTTGACACAAACCCACCACCATTATAATATGCTCCTCACTTAGCGATGAATTTGTTTATCGACATGGTCTTAGGAATGGAACTCTGTCGTTAAGTGAGGAAATGCTGTACAGTGGACCCCCGCATAACGATCACCTCCGAATGCGACCAATTATGTAAGTGTATTTATGTAAGTGCGTTTGTACGTGTATGTTTGGGGGTCTGAAATGGACTAATCTACTTCACAATATTCCTTATGGGAACAAATTCGGTCAGTACTGGCACCTGAACATACTTCTGGAGTGAAAAAATATCGTTAACCGGGGATCCACTGTATTTGCAAATCACTGAAAAAAAGGCAAAAGTAACAATGCACAACGAAGATTACATTAACTATTCACACTATAGCTTTTTTTTTCCAAAATACTGTATACCAAATGCCTCTGCATTAAACCATGATCTTACTTGGGTCATGTACATACGTTGGGATTGTTTTGGAAAGGCACGTAAACAAACACCATGACACATATATTAGAAAACGTTTCGGTCCTGGAACTGAACCGTCTTCTAATAAACATGTCCTAGTGTTTGCTTACGTGTCTTTCTAAATCAATTTGTCAGTATTTATTACCAAGGTTTATATACCGTACACCGAGATCAATCACAAATTATTGACTTTGGTCAAATCATGGGCTCAGGTCACATCACAAACTCAAATCTTCAAAATATTCAACTCCTCCACACACACACACACGCACACACACACACACACACACACACACACACACACACACACAAAAGCAATGTTAACGCTGTTGTTTGTGACCTGCAGGAAGATTGGTGGCACTCCAGCCCCCAGTGATGACTGGAAGGGCGGCCTGACAGGTGTGGCCTACAACCTGGGTCCTGAGCTACAAGATCGCTACTCCAACTACACATTGAGACTCAAAACCCACAATGTGCTCCAGATCCACCGTTCCTACAATGTTATTGGTACGATCAAAGGGGAAGTGGAGCCAGGTGAGTTAAGAGTGGAGAGAAAATAAGAAACAAAGAGAGGAAAGAGGAATAGCAATGTACAGTATATCGCTAAGGTTGAACAAATTCACTGTCTAGGCTTTCTCTCCTTCCTAAGCATGTTTTCAGTATATAATTACCAATGTATTTTTAACTACAAGTTTGTAGAAACTGATATAGAACTAGCTTGTTGGCCCTGTGTCCGTATGTCCGTGTGTCCGTGTGTGTGTATTTTGGCTTGTTTTGTCGTACTTATTTAGATTTATACATTCGTAGCAAAACGATTAGAGCTGTTCATATTGTCTAGTCTTCTGTAGAAGTGTAGCTATCCTCTTCTTGAATCGAACCTGATTGCCATCATGAAGGGACCTCCCTGAAGGGACCTCCCTGGAGGGCCCTCCCTGAAAGGACCTCCCTGAAGGGACCTCCCTGAAGGGACCTCTCTGAAGAGACTTCCCTAAAAGGACCTTTCTGAAAGGCCCTCCCTGAAAGGACCTTCCTAAAGGGACCTCCCTGCAGGGTATTGTTGCTACTAAATCAGCATTATCAGTTAAAGCACTTTAATTGCCTTGTCTTTCATTTATTTTACTGTTGACTGGTGTCCCATGACTCGTAAATTTAAAAAAAAAAAAATGACGAGCCTTGTACTTCGTTAAGTGTTGGCACTGCCGTTCACAGACCGCTATGTGTTGCTTGGCAACCACCGTGATGCTTGGGGTTACGGTGCCTCTGACCCCTCCAGTGGCACGGCCCAGATGCTGGAGACTGCCCGTGTCTTCGGTCAGCTCATCAGTAGCACAGGTGTGTGTCCATCAGGTTTTGATACTTGTTAAAGTAACACCTTTTAATTTTGTTGTAACATATTAGTCAATGTTTCTGGTGTTTTGGTCATTGGATACTACAGTTTAATATTATAATTTATATTCCATCGTCTCCCCAGAATGTCATGAATAATTATGTTTTTTTTGTGTGTGTAAGAAATAAACTCGGCATCCATCTTAGTAGTAACACTACTAAGTATTTAACTGACAAGTTTATAAATTTTTTAGGACTGTAGTAAATTTATATCAAAGATTCCAGAAGTGACTCATCAGCGAATATTTCAGTTTTCAACATTAACCCTTAAACTGTCCAAATGTAGATCTACGTTCGCTCACGTAGTGTTCCGAACGTAGATCTACATTTCTTTTACATAAAGCATGTAAAATCCAACATAGATCTACGTTCGCTTATGTAGCACTCCGAACGTAGATCTACATTCGATTTTACATGCTTTCTTATGTTAAAAAAAAAAAACGTAGATCTACGTTCGGAGCGCTACACAAGCAGACGTAGATCTACATTTGGAGCGCTACACAAGCAAACTTAGATCTACGTTTGAACAGTTTAAAATAAATTTTAAACAAGCTGGCTTTTATACAACTGTTGTATTACCACCATATTTGTAATAAAAAAAGTAAACTTACATAAGGGAAAAAAATTAAAGTGAACTATTCTAAAAAAAATTATCATCCACAAGGCTGGCGGCCACGTCGGACTTTGGTTTTCTGCAGTTGGGGAGCTGAGGAGTACGGACTTATTGGTTCTACAGAGTGGGTGGAGGTAAGAGGTCTCCCCCGATGTGCTTTACAGGTCAGTAAGGCAACAACTTGCTCTGTCACTACTATATTTCTACATATTATGGGAAATACGTATATAGAAATATAACACAGTAATTCATCGTCTCAAACTAATAAAAATAATTCCTCTTTCTGCACTTCCAAGGAGCAGCAACAATGGTCTGACTACCTGTAAGCTACAGTAATTGTGTTATTCTTATAAGCTGAACGGATTTATTACTGTAAGTTTTTTGATACATGGGAGCGTGTGTATACTGTATCAAACCTTGAATTAATGTTGGTAGAATTACCGATAATATGTTAGTTAAAAGGACACAAGTACAGCTATGTGCAATTTTATTGTGGTAGAGTGTGTTATATACCTGGAGTATACCTGGCGAATGTTTCGGGGGTCAACGCCCCGCGGCCCGGTCTGTGACAGTACCATAGATGGAATCTCTCACAAAAATAAGCAGTTTTTGGGAAGAAAATGGTCAAAACATTTCAGTCCGTCCTATGATCATGTTCCAGGGTGGACTGAAAAGTTTCTACTTTCTAGTTTCCTCTTGGTCTTGACCAAAGTCTGTATCACTGGACTGCTAGTTTTAAGTTTAACTTACCGTAGGTTTGATCCTGACTTCGTTGTATGAGATGATTCTGCGTCATAAAACTGACCTTGTGTATTTCACAGGAAAATGTGAACAAGCTGCAGGAGCGGGCAGTGATGTACCTGAACACTGACAACTGCGCCTCAGGACCAGCTATCCTAATACCCAGCAGCCCTCTACTCTGGGAACCTGTCACCAGGATCATGAAGATGGTAGGCTACTGCCTCTTCCTGCCTCCCAATTGTCATTTTGCCTGCCTGCCTGCCTGCCTGCCTGCCTACAGCCAGGCAGTATCATATTCTGTTACTGTCATTATCCGTTTGTCCTTGGATAAATGTGAGATTGTATGTTTGTGTCCTTGTCTAAGACCCTCTGTACAGTGTTTGTACAGTGTTACCTTCTGTTTGTGTAGAGGAAAACGAGATTGCCTGTTTATAATTACAGGATTGAAGTTGAACTTGTGGTGTTCCTGTGCCATTATTCTAATTGCAGGGTGGCCTTTTTACAGGTGCCTGGGGTTCGAGATGGTGCCACGTTATACGATGAGTGGATGGCCAATAATGTTGCACAGAATCGTACGTCACCAAAGTAAGTTAAGAGAAGGTGTAGGAAGAGGCGAAAGTGAATGAAAGTATAAGAGTGAGGAAATGAAAGAAATAGGTGAGAAAGGGAAAGATGGAAGCAGAGAAAGGTTGGAAAAAAGGGGGGTGATGAAAGAGTATAGAGAAGGGAAGAGGGCAAAGTGAAATGAGGGATGGAAAGTGGAGGAAAGAGGATGTCAGGAAAGAACAGATGATGACATCTAGACATCACAATATCAGCAATAGGCATAACAATGAAAATTTTCAACATTATTTTTCAAAGAACGAGATTATTAAACTACAACACATCAGTATAATGAAATAAATATCAACATAAGAAATGAGGAACACTGCAGCAGGCCTACTGGCCCATGTTAGGCAGGTCCTTCTCAAGCCTAAACCCACTAACAAAAATCTAAGACAAATAAGTTTAGGTACAGGCATACATAAGTACAATTATCCAGGATAACCCAGAAATTATCCAGGATAACCCATAAAAGGTCAGACAAAATTACCTATTTCCATAGGGGTCCTTGTAATATCTTATTATACTATGGTATGAGTATATTTGTGGGAAAGCACTAAACCTGTGAGGTCATAGAGCCTGGAAGTACACCATCCGGGTAAAATGATCATGACTGGTTGACGGCTGCAAGACTTTTGGATCAGTAAATGTGAAGACTGACACTCTTGTGATATATTTGGGAATCTTGATTAAGGAAACTCTTCGAGAACCAATGGCTTCTGTTATTCTCTGTATTGGTCTGAAGAAGGTGAAGCTATTGGCTGTCGAAAAGTTTCCTCAATTTAAAGATTCCCTAACATTGCACAAGCATCTCATTCTTCAACTTGTCGGCTTTGAAGACCATTTTTATCACAGTAAGTGTGACTGAGTTGATGTGAAGGATGTTTAACTCTTTCTCTGTCTCACTCAGAATGGACACACTGGGAACATCAAGCGACCACGCCCCGTTTGCTTTCTACTGCGGCATCCCATGTTTGAATCTAATGTTTAAGAGTATCAGGGTAATCCTATCTCCTACTCTATTGTGGCTATACAATATACACTGTATATAGTGTTATCTGCATATGTGACTTATAACTTTATCATCTTATTCGCAAGAAAGCGCTAAACCTGAACGAAAAATACAACGCCAGGCATAGTTACGTAAAGCATTTTCTCTCTCTCTCCTCTTAATCTCTCGTCACCAGAATAAGTACGATATCACAGGTTATCCTTTCTACCACACTGGCTACGATACCTTTTACATGATGGATAAGCATGTTGACCCAGGATTCAGGATCCAGCAAGGATGTGGTAGGATAGCATCCCTCATGCTGAAGTACTTCGCAGACTCTCTCATTATTCCATACAGCCTGCAGCACCTGCCGGAGGCCATGAAGGATGCCCTTGACACCTTCAAGGAAAGTGGCAAGAGAGATAAGCTGATGAAGATATGTAAGAAGTATGGTAAGTGAGAGGTGGGCTTCTTCAGTCAGACAGAGGCTGCAGGTGTAGTAATGAAGTTATGGAATCAGTCCATCAACCTTGGAGAAAAATTATTTGAGGTGGTCAGTCCCACCAGCCTGGAAAAGAGTTCAGCTCATGGAGCAGAGCTCTTCTTGGATGTCTTTAGTGAGAAAACGTTTCGCCACCCAGTGGCTTCATCAGTCTAATACAACGAAGACTGGTGAAGATCAGAACTGATTACATCGACTCCAGGTTGAGGACTGATTACCTCAAACTCTTTCTGATATCCACCATCCTTCTCTGTCTAGGACTGATGAAGTCACTGTGTGGCGAAACGTTTCCTCAGTAAAGATACCCAAGTGTTACACATGTGTCTAATTTACACAACTCTGAATATTCTTAGCTCTGTCAACAAAACCACAGGTTAATAAGTAAGATACATGTGCAACAGTTAGGTATCTTTATTCCGAAACGTTTCGCCTACACAGCAGGCTTTTTTCAGTCGAGTACAGAAAAGGCTGCAAAAGCAGTCGAGATATGAAGACGATGTAATCAGTCCATCAGCCTTGAAGACGTAGTTCTGAGGTGGTCAGTCCCTCAACAGTCCCTACCGAGACACATAGATTCATAATTCTACCCGAAGGGGAAGTTAACACGTCAAAGACCATTAATTTTATTTACTCGCAACCCAAACACTTATAAAAATCATTATACAATACAAATTTTCTTAGGCCCATTGCTTTATTTTGTCATAATTTTATTTTTCTTTATTATACTCAATGTCATTTTCCAGTTCTCCTGGAGGAGTCTTTGGCAAACTTGACTGACACAATTACAGTCTTTGTAAGGAAGGTTAAGGAGAAGAAGACACAGAACTTGGAGTAAGTGTTTCAGCAAGATTAGTCTAAACTAGTCTAAATTAGTCTAAACTAGTCTAAATTAGTCTAAACTAGTCTAAACAATAGTAGTGGGAACAAGTGTTTTGTTTTAAGATTAGACAGGACTGTTGTGTGTAACTATCCTAGTCTATACAATAGTAGAGTAGTGGGAACAAGTGCTAACTATTTTTTCTATCTTACAGTATGGGTTTTATGACTGAGGTCGTGAAATCTGCCAACCTGAGCTAAGAGACTTCATTAGAATCTCAACTAATCAACTCCTCTTTCTTGTACACACAGTCCGGTCAGCATCCGAGCCATCAATGACCAGATGATGAAGCTGGAACAGGTTTTCATTCTACCAGCAGGTCTTCCAGGTCGACCAACTGTCAGGTAGATACAGCAAATGATTATTACGTGTTCATACAGTGGTTTATCAAAAGCATTGAGTGATATAGGTCAAAACACTCATCAAACCTCACAGCTTCCTTCCGTTTTCCAAGCAAGCGAAAGAGAATAGACAGAATTTGTGTTTACAGACACTCTTCATAGGTTCAACACGGTATATGAAAAGAAAACACACATTAAAAACAGTTTTTTAAAATGCCAATGAGTGCTTTTATGCAGTGTTCTTGTTAATAAAAAATCCATACTTATATACCACGCACAAATAAAAATCATTCCCAACACATTCATTAGTAAATGCAGGGGACACCATTGAGAAGGAAGCCTGAGCTTACTACCTTTGCAGCTCATAAGACTGCCATCCCCACGAGCCCCTTTAGGGCGGGGCAGATGGCAGACCAGAGGCCTAGCTTCTCCCTACGAGCCCGTGTGGGCGGGGACTGTGGCTAGGCCTGGGGACAGTTGGTCCCAAAGATGAGGGGGTACTTGTACCTCCTCCCATGGGAGGCTTACGTCTCGAGATACTCCCCAGATAGGGAGCCAAGGCCGGGTCACCACTACTTGGAAAAGACCCGGGCCGGGAGAATACCGGCGAATAAAAAAAAAACACCATTGAGAACACCGGCGAATCAACAAGAAGGGACACCATTCCCACCAGCCCTCCTAGGGCAAAGAAGGTACCAGAGCCAGAGCTTGCTGCCACTTGAAGCTCAGAAGACTGCCATTCCCACCAGCCCTCCTAGGGCAAAGAAGGTACCAGAGCCAGAGCTCGCTGCCACTTGAAGCTCAGAAGACTGTCATTCCCACCAGCCCTCCTGGGCTGGGGGAAATGGTAGGCCAGAGGCCTAGCTTCTCCCTACGAGCCCCCCGCGAGGGCTGGGAATGGGGCTAAGCCTGGGGACAGTTGGTCCCAGAAGATAAGGAGGCAGACATAGGTCTCAGACACTCGAAAGACAGGGAGCCAAGACGGGTCACCATCTGGAAAAGACCCGGACCGTGAGAGTACCGGCGAATCAAGAAGAAGAATGTAATCAGTTTAAAAAATGTAAATAACAACTAATGGCTATAATAATAACCATGATTTTTAAAGAGGCAGAGGGGTAAGCCAGCAGAAAGCCTCGACCAGATGACCAAAAGCTCCAGTTATGGGTCATCATATAACTAAGACCCATGTCAGAAATAAATCCGAGGATCCCACAGGTGCCCAATAATCTTGAAATCCTAACTAAGAGCCGAGACTGTGACCTCCTCATTATTTTTTTAAAAAATATCAAGTCGTAGCTGCTCTTCTTAATGTACCACCACCTCACTTTGTAACTCGTCAACTGGGTGACTAAAATAACCTGACGACTGCGTTCGGAAATACCATAGTCATACCATAGGTGAAATTGTACAGTACGAAATAATAATAATAATAATAAATACAACTAATACAGAGTATGGTAGTTGTGAAATATATATATATATATATATATATATATATATATATATATATATATATATATATAAAGACTTGGTTTGCTTAGACAAAGCAAACAAGAGTCAATGATAATCATCAATAGTATTGTTTACATAAAAAGACAACAATGGGGTGGGGGGGCTGCGACATTTAACAAGAGATGAAAATACTGGGAAAAGCTTACTTTACATTAATAATAAATGAGAAACTTGTGCAACACTTGGGTATCTTTATTGTGGAAATCTCTGGCCACTCAGTGGCTTCTTCAGTCCAATGCAGAGAACTGTGGAAGATGAGGAGGAGGAGGAGGAGGTGTTGGAAGTAATCAGTCCCCCAGCCTGGGGTCGATGTGTTCATTTATCAACTTGCATCGACACCATGCCCAGCCCTTCTAGGGCAGGGTAGGTGCCTGAGCCCGAGCCTTTAGCTCATAAGACTGTCATTCCCATTAGCCCCCTTGAGGCGGGGATGACAGACCAGAGAGGCCTAACTTGTGGCTAGGCCTGGGGACAGTTGGTCCCAAAGATGAGGAGGTACTTGTGCCTCCTCCCATGGGAGACTTAGGTCTCAGACACTCCCTAAAGAGGGAGCCAAGGCCGGGCCACCACTTGGAAAAGGCCCGGGCCGGGAAAATACCGGCGAATATTTAATAATAATAATAATTATCAACTTGTCGGTTTAGAAGACCATTTATAGACGATATGCAGAAGAGCTGTGTACTGGATTTATACCATTAAGTACAGATTCATAAATGGCTCTTCTGTAAACCCAAGACTTGCACTACATACAGGCTGGGAATGGCACTAGAAGGAAAGCCTTTTATTCTGCGATGTTTCTTCCACAATGGTACTTGATGAGACACCTTTGGAAAAAAAAGTATATCAAAAAATAAAAGTTTTCCGTTTCAAGTTCTTTAAAATGCCATTTTTACCATTGATTATTTAATTTTTTCCACTCCAAAGGCACCATTTCCTCCACTCCACATAAACCATTTACTCCAAAGGCACCATTTCCTCCACTCCACATAAACCATTTACTCCAAAGGCACCATTTCCTCCACTCCACATAAACCATTTACTCCAGAGGCACCATTTCCTCCACTCCACATAAACCATTTACTCCAGAGGCACCATTTCCTCCACTCCACATAAACCATTTACTCCAGAGGCACCATTTCCTCCACTCCACATAAACCATTTACTCCAGAGGCACCATTTCCTCCACTCCAGATTTACTGAAAAATAAACTGTACCGCTGGAAGTTTAATATACATAATTATCATAAAAACATAAAAGGTAATAATTGAATGTTTTCAGACACGCAGTTTTCGCCCAGAGTCAATTCGACAACTACGCCCCGGCACGGTTCCCTGGCATCTCCGATCTTCTGTACAGAATAGAAGAGTTGGACGCTGCTGAGCGCCTTGAGAAAGAAGAGGAGATCAGGAAGCACATCTCTGATCTTACTATTATGATGGAGAGAGCCGCCAGCTTCTTACAGGACTTCCACTTGATCTAAGAGGATACCAGCGTTATTGGATTCTTTTGGGTAAAAGTGCAACTAATGAGACGTTTTTATCGTGGCAACTTTTCGCTCTCCAGGAGCTCTGGCAATGCTCCTGGAGAGCTAAACGTTGCCACAATAAAAATGTCACAGTAGTTGCACTTGCGTACTTTTACCTAACATTTTGTCGCCAAATTCCACCAACATTGTTACAATGTGGATTCTGAAGGCCTTCCACAATGTAAAGAAAGGCATCGCTTAATACAAGTTCCTCTTGAGAGCAAGTTTTTGCCTCTTTCTCTGGCGAACAACTAGTGTGTGGTTCCTTCTCACTTGCATTGTGATAATGCTCCACGAGCCACTCAAATGTCTAGTTTCCATCTTCAGTTTTATGGGTAGTTTGGGAATTACATCAGCTACGATGTTGTAACACAAATGTTGTAACACACAACGCTTGGAAGTACTTGACTTGTACTCACTGGAGCGCAGGCGAGAGAGATATATCATAATAAGAGGCATTACCAATAGACCCCTGGTTGTCTTCAAGAGAGAGCTAGACAGATACCTAAAGTCGGTGCCAGATCAGCCGTGCTGTGGTTCGTACGTTGGACTGCGTGCGGCCACCAGTAACAGCCTGGTTGATCAGGCCCTGATTTACCGGGAGGCCTGGTCGTGGACCGGGCCACGGGGGCGTTGATCCCCGGAATACTCTCCAGGTAGATATAAGGCAACTGGTTTAAGATGGTCGAAGTCTGAGGAAACTAATTTCTGGTTAGATCAATGGTTCGGAGAACTGACAGGTTGATAAATTAGATACATATGTAACACCTGGGTACCTATTGTGGAAACTCTTCTCCACACAGTGACTTCATCAGTCCTATACATAGAAGAATGGTGAAGATCGGGAGACTGGGGTAATCAGTCCCTCAGCCTGGAATCGATGTAATTAGTCCATCAATCTTGATGTCAAGATTGGTGAACTAATTACACCGACTCCAGGCTGAGGGACTGATTACCTCAAACTCCTTCTGATCTTGAAGAATCTGAAGCAGAGATCTGTGCTTCAGAGTCTTCAAGACTACTGTACTCTCTCTCTCTCTCTCTCTCTCTCTCTCTCTCTCTCTCTCTCTATTATCGCATTGATGTTCGCATGACACTACAGTGTGATGGCCACATGTTGGCGCCTGTGCTTCCAGGAGAAGGGGGTGAGACCCTGATGTTGGGTTTGGGGAGGGAGGTGATTGTGGGAGGTTGGTACTACACCTCCCCATCACTAGCCTGCTGGGGAGATGTTGTTTGTGGTAGGGGAAGGGGTATGGGGGAAGGGCGTGGTCTAGGATTGCGTCAGTGTTGACAAGTGATCCAACATACACATAACCCTTTATTGGAGACGTCGTAAGCTCCTCTCTCCTATATGTAGGTTATTCATGTGTTATTCCAGTCAGGGTACTGTGCCATTTTGTTATTTATAGGTGATCCACTTGTTGTAGCATGGTGAATGGGGAGGAGAGAGAGCGAGTAGAGAACAGAGCGAGACGTCTCATCTCTCGCCTGGATCCATCCTGGATAGATCTATCATTTCAGCAGAGCCTTCAACACAGGAGGGATGTGGGTGGCATTATTGTTATGTACAAGGCCAATACTGTCCAAGTACCACACTTGGATCCACTTCGAGGACAGCGTGAAGCAAGCTTCTATACCACCAGTGGAGCCAACAAGACTAGAGAACACACTAGACCTTATTTTCACAAATAATGAGGACCTGGTAAGAAACATAACAATATCAAAAACAACTAATACTGATCACAATCTAATCGAAGTCCAGACGTACATGCACAGGAGTCCTGATCAGCAAAATGCATACAGCTATGAGGGTACCTTTACCAAATTCAGCTTCAGCAACAAGAACATCATCTGGGAAGAAGATATCTTAAATGACATGGACCCTTAACAGTGCCTTGAAAAGATCAACTTCCTGGTAGCTGAAGTATGTTCAAGGTATATTCCCCTAAGAAAAAAGAAGAGAATTGATCTGGAGAGAGAGAGGGAGAGTGATGCTCCCTCTATGAACCATCTGTCTACATTGCTGACAGACACACCAACATCTTGAGATAGGGAATTTTTCACTTACCTAACCTGTAGTTATGACCTACTTCCACATGTGGATTTATCCACTGTGATATCGCCTACGGCTGTTTCACCTCACCTGTCTACGGTACATAAGGCACTTTATAGTGCATACCTGGGTGTTAGTCGACTGGTGTGGGTGGCATCCTATGTTCTTATGTTCTTATCAGTGGACCCTGGTTAACAACAGTGGCCAGTGGACCCCTGAGCAGGTCAACAGGGATGAGTTTCCTGTAGTCCCTGATAATTAAGGCCCCTCTCCCCCCCCCCCAAGTTGACTGGAGAATCAGGAGAGATAGTGGAGGGGCGATTGACTGAGGTCAGGGATCCTAATCCAACCTCCAGAAATGGATGGGTACCTTTCTGGAGGTCACCCTCCAACCCCTCCACCCCCACACACACATATATATATTTGCCCATATACTCGTGGTGGCAGTGATCTCATCCTCTCGAGACACTGGTTACACAGTATTTTACCAGCTTTTCACTAAGTTCATGGTTCATTTGGTCCCAGTTACTGTGTTCCTAAAATTGACTTTCTTCATTCATTCATTAGGGATTTGCCGGTACTTCCGGCTCGGGTCTTCTCGTGAGTGAGTGCTGGGTTGTTGACATCCCGTGAGTACGCAGGGTCCGGTGAAATCATCATGGGGTGGGTTGGAACTGGGTTCCGAGTACTGGCAAAGTCGAGGTTTTTATAAAGCAGGGCGTCACATTAGTGCCAGGCGGAGGAGCTGGGTGTCAGGGAGGTGCTGGGTGCCAGGGAGGTGCTGGGTGCCAGGGAGGTGCTGGGTGACAGGGAGGTGCTGGGTGTCAGGGAGGTGTTGGGTGCCAGGGAGGTGCTGGGTGTCAGGGAGGTGCTGGGTGTCAGGGAGGTGCTGGGTGCCTGGGAAGTGCTGGGTGCCAGGGAGGTGCTGGGTGTTAAGTAGGTGCTGGGTGCCAGGGAAGTGCTGGGTGCCAGGGAGGTGCTGGGTGCCACGGAGATGCCAAGCGAGGAAGGGGAATAATACATGAACAAAAGAGACGATGTAGGCGAACACACCGCAAACACCAACAGCCTGGCTGACCAAGTACTCAGTATAGGAAGCCTGGCTTCAGGCCGGGCTGCGAGGATAAATGAACTTGTAAAAGTCACAAATGAGCCACAGGGACGTTAGGAAATACTTTTTCAGTTTCTGATTAGTGAGTAGAGGGAAATTCGTGTTCTCCCTGTGTTAATGATTCCGTGGATTCGGTCCCGCGGTTTAGTTGATCCGATCAGTGAGGGGGAAAAGGTTAAGTGAAGATATGATCTGGCCCTCGGGCAAGGAGTTAGTAACGTCGGTTGATTGTAGTGAAGAAGCAGGAACTCAGGGGCAGTGGTTCGAACCCTGCAAACCCAGCTAGGCGAGTACAAGGACGCTGAACACTTCAATGGAAGCTGAAGACACAGATGAGTCATAAAGATGTCAGGAAGTGTTTCTTTGGCCTAAGGGTAGCTGACAAAAATGAAATAACTTGGAGGGGGCAGTGGTGGAGGCAAACTCAGTACACAGCTTCAAATCAGTGATGCTGATCAAAGCGGTATAGGAGGCGGGGCCAGGAGCAGTATCTCAACCTCCGCAAATACAACTCGGTGAGTATAGGAATGGTAGGAAAGTTTTCAGTGTTTGGTTTAACGAAAACATACACAAGAACGTCAGTTTGACGACGTACTGCTGCGGTGTGAGCAAGGAAACCAGCTAGCCAAACTCGACTCCTGGAGGTGGAAGGTACAGTGTCTGTGCTCTGAAGGAGAGGGTGATGTTACAGTCCTGGAGGTGGAAGGTACAGTGCCTGTACTCTGAAGGAGAGGGTGATGTTACAGTCCTGGAAGTGGAAGGTACAGTGCCTGTACTCTGAAGGAGAGGGTGATGTTACAGTCCTGGAAGTGGAAGGTACAGTGCCTGTACTCTGAAGGAGAGGGTGATGTTACAATCCTGGAAGTGGAAGGTACAGTGCCTGTACTCTGAAATAGAGGGTGATGTTACAGTCCTGGAGGTGGAAGGTACAGTGCCTGTACTCTGAAGGAGAGGGTGATGTTACAATCCTGGAAGTGGAAGGTACAGTGCCTGTACTCTGAAGGAGAGGGTGATGTTACGTCCTGGAGGTGGAAGGTACAGTGCCTGTACTCTGAAGGAGAGGGTGATGTTACAGTCCTGGAGGTGGAAGGTACAGTGCCTGTACTCTGAAGGAGAGGGTGATGTTACAGTCCTGGAAGTGGAAGGTACAGTGCCTGTACTCTGAATGAGAGGGTAATGTTACAGTCCTGGAGGTGGAAGGTACAGTGCCTGTACTCTGAAGGAGAGGGTGATGTTACAGTCCTGGAAGTGGAAGGTACAGTGCCTGTACTCTGAATGAGAGGGTAATGTTACAGTCCTGGAGGTGGAGGTACAGTGCCTGTACTCTGAAGGAGAGGGTGATGTTACAATCCTGGAAGTGGAAGGTACAGTGCCTGTACTCTGAAGGAGAGGGTGATGTTACAGTCCTGGAGGTGGAAGGTACAGTGCCTGTACTCTGAATGAGAGGGTAATGTTACAGTCCTGGAAGTGGAAGGTACAGTGCCTGTACTCTGAAATAGAGGGTGATGTTACAGTCCTGGAGGTGGAAGGTACAGTGCCTGTACTCTGAAGGAGAGGGTGATGTTACAGTCCTGGAGGTGGAAGGTACAGTGCCTGTACTCTGAAGGAGAGGGTGATGTTACAGTCCTGGAGGTGGAAGGTACAGTGCCTGTACTCTGAAGGAGAGGGTGATGTTACAGTCCTGGAAGTGGAAGGTACAGTGCCTGTACTCTGAATGAGAGGGTAATGTTACAGTCCTGGAGGTGGAAGGTACAGTGCCTGTACTCTGAAGGAGAGGGTGATGTTACAATCCTGGAATGTGGAAGGTACAGTGCTGTACTCTGAAGGAGGAGGGTGATGTTACAGTCCTGGAGGTGGAGGTACAGTGCCTGTACTCTGAATGAGAGGGTAATGTTACAGTCCTGGAAGTGGAAGGTACAGTGCCTGTACTCTGAAATAGAGGGTGATGTTACAGTCCTGGAGGTGGAAGGTACAGTGCCTGTACTCTGAAGGAGAGGGTGATGTTACAGTCCTGGAGGTGGAAGGTACAGTGCCTGTACTCTGAAGGAGAGGGTGATGTTACAGTCCTGGAGGTGGAAGGTACGTGCCTGTACTCTGAAGGAGAGGGTGATGTTACAGTCCTGGAAGTGGAAGGTACAGTGCCTGTACTCTGAAGGAGGGTGATGTTACAGTCCTGGAGTGGAAGGTACAGTGCCTGTACTCTGAAGGAGAGGGTGATGTTACAGTCCTGGAAGTGGAAGGTACAGTGCCTGTACTCTGAAGAGAGGGTGATGTTACAGTCCTGGAAGTGGAAGGTACAGTGCCTGTACTCTGAAGGAGAGGGTGATGTTACAGTCCTGGAAGTGGAAGGTACAGTGCCTGTACTCTGAAGGAGAGGGTGATGTTACAGTCCTGGAAGTGGAAGGTACAAGTGCCTGTACTCTGAAGGAGAGGGTGATGTTACAGTCCTGGAAGTGGAAGGTACAGTGCCTGTACTCTGAAGGAGAGGGTGATGTTACAGTCCTGGAGTGGAAGGTACAGTGCCTGTACTCTGAAGGAGAGGGTGATGTTACAGCCTGGAGGTGGAGGTACAGTGCCTGTACTCTGAAGGAGAGGGTGATGTTACAGTCCTGGAAGTGGAAGGTACAGTGCCTGTACTCTGAAGGAGAGGGTGATGTTACAGTCCTGGAAGTGGAAGGTACAGTGCCTGTACTCTGAAGGAGAGGGTGATGTTACAGTCCTGGAAGTGGAAGGTACAGTGCCTGTACTCTGAAGGAGAGGGTGATGTTACAGTCCTGGAAGTGGAAGGTACAGTGCCTGTACTCTGAAGGAGAGGGTGATGTTACAGTCCTGGAAGTGGAAGGTACAGTGCCTGTACTCTGAAGGAGAGGGTGATGTTACAGTCCTGGAAGTGGAAGGTACAGTGCCTGTACTCTGAAGGAGAGGGTGATGTTACAGTCCTGGAAGTGGAAGGTACAGTGCCTGTACTCTGAAGGAGAGGGTGATGTTACAGTCCTGGAAGTGGAAGGTACAGTGCCTGTACTCTGAAGGAGAGGGTGATGTTACAGTCCTGGAAGTGGAAGGTACAGTGCCTGTACTCTGAAGGAGAGGGTGATGTTACAGTCCTGGAGGTGGAAGGTACAGTGCCTGTACTCTGAAGGAGAGGGTGATGTTACAGTCCTGGAAGTGGAAGGTACAGTGCCTGTACTCTGAAGGAGAGGGTGATGTTACAGTCCTGGAAGTGGAAGGTACAGTGCCTGTACTCTGAAGGAGAGGGTGATGTTACAGTCCTGGAGGTGGAAGGTACAGTGCCTGTACTCTGAATGAGAGGGTAATGTTACAGTCCTGGAGGTGGAAGGTACAGTGCCTGTACTCTGAAGGAGAGGTGATGTTACAATCCTGGAAGTGGAAGGTACAGTGCCTGTACTCTGAAATAGAGGGTGATGTTACAGTCCTGGAGGTGGAAGGTACAGTGCCTGTACTCTGAAGGAGAGGGTGATGTTACAATCCTGGAAGTGGAAGGTACAGTGCCTGTACTCTGAAATAGAGGGTGATGTTACAGTCCTGGAGGTGGAAGTACAGTGCCTGTACTCTGAAGGAGAGGGGTGATGTTACAGTCCTGGAGGTGGAAGGTACAGTGCCTGTACTCTGAATGAGAGGGTAATGTTACAGTCCTGGAGGTGGAAGGTACAGTGCCTGTACTCTGAAGGAGAGGGTGATGTTACAATCCTGGAAGTGGAAGGTACAGTGCCTGTACTCTGAAATAGAGGGTGATGTTACAGTCCTGGAGGTGGAAGGTACAGTGCCTGTACTCTGAAGGAGAGGGTGATGTTACAATCCTGGAAGTGGAAGGTACAGTGCCTGTACTCTGAAATAGAGGGTGATGTTACAGTCCTGGAGGTGGAAGGTACAGTGCCTGTACTCTGAAGGAGAGGTTGATGTTACAGTCCTGGAGGTGGAAGGTACAGTGCCTGTACTCTGAATGAGAGGGTAATGTTACAGTCCTGGAGGTGGAAGGTACAGTGCCTGTACTCTGAAGGAGAGGGTGATGTTACAATCCTGGAAGTGGAAGGTACAGTGCCTGTACTCTGAAATAGAGGGTGATGTTACAGTCCTGGAGGTGGAAGGTACAGTGCCTGTACTCTGAAGGAGAGGGGTGATGTTACAATCCTGGAAGTGGAAGGTACAGTGCCTGTACTCTGAAATAGAGGGTGATGTTACAGTCCTGGAGGTGGAAGGTACAGTGCCTGTACTCTGAAGGAGAGGGTGATGTTACAGTCCTGGAGGTGGAAGGTACAGTGCCTGTACTCTGAAGGAGAGGGTGATGTTACAGTCCTGGAGGTGGAAGGTACAGTGCCTGTACTCTGAAGGAGAGGGTGATGTTACAATCCTGGAAGTGGAAGGTACAGTGCCTGTACTCTGAAATAGAGGGTGATGTTACAGTCCTGGAGGTGGAAGGTACAGTGCCTGTACTCTGAAATAGAGGGTGATGTTACAGTCCTGGAGGTGGAAGGTACAGTGCCTGTACTCTGAAATAGAGAGTGATGTTACAGTCCTGGAGGTGGAAGGTACAGTGCCTGTACTCTGAAGGAGAGGGTGATGTTACAGTCCTGGAGGTCATCTAAACCATGATGTCAGAACGCCTCTGGCAACAGAGCTATTGAATGACTGATCTACTTGGAGATCCTTCCAGGGGGTCAACGCCCCCGTGGTCCGGTCCCAGATCAAGCACTGATCCCAGTGGATAAGTGCTTGATCATCCAGGCTATTACTGCTGGCCGCATACAGCCCAACGTACGAACCACAGCCCAGTTGATCTTGCACTGACTTTAGGTATCTGTCCAGCTCCCTCTTGAAGGCAGCCAGGGGTCTATTGGTATTCCTTATGTATGATCGGAGGCTGTTGAACAATCTTGGGTCCCTGACACTGTTTTCTATAAGGGCACTCATGGCGCCTCCGCTTTTCATTGGAGGTCAGTCGCACTGTCTGCTTAATCTTTTGCTTCATTAGGGAGTGATTTCTGTGTGCAAATTTGAGAATCGTCCCTTCATCATTTCTTTCCAGATGTAGATCATGATGTATCGATCTCGCCTGCGTTCCAGGGATTATTATAATAACTAAGCGCTAAACCCGTAAGGGTCATACAGTTCTGTGCATTCCAGGGAGCACAGGTCAAGGGACTTCAAACGTAGCCAGTAATTAAGGTGCTTGACTCAACTAATACGTGCAGTGAAGGTTCTCTGTACATTCCCCAGATCTGCAGTTTTGCCTCTGTACGAAGGGGCTGTTAGTGTACATTATTATTATTATTATTATTATTATTATTATTATTATTATTATTATTATTATTATTATTATTATTATTATTATTATTATTATTAAAAAGAAGCGCTACACCCACTAGGGTCCTACAGTCATTATCCTTCCTCTGTTATCCTCTCCACAAGAGTGTAATAAAGGGCTGTGAGGAGTGCTTAAGGAGAAATGATCAAAGTTTGTGTAATAAATCGGTTGCTGTCAAAATGTCAAAGAGGGAGACTTGTGTCAAAGGTGGGGCTGTCAGCATGGAGGGAAGATGGAGTTAGAACGGCTGCGACGTCGGAGGTAAATACTGCGTGCTTGTTGTACGGCAGTATTCCAGCCTAGAGAGAACAAGTGACTTGAATAGGATTACGAATGAGTTAATCAGTGTTTCTCTTTGATCACCTTACCTCGGTGGGAGACGGTGGTCAGTGTCTTGAAAAGGTACCAGTCAAGGTAACCTTTATTATACCGAGGTACCAGTGAAAGTCAGCTTTATTATACCGAGGTACCACT